CTATATTCCATCATATTCCCGAGACGTGTCCATTGGGACGCTTCCTGATATCTCATAACCACTATTATTTTCAAATTAATAAGAATATTTTGAATTATGGATGTGGCTGTTGTGTAGCCTTATCAGATATCAGTACTTTATTACACCTACATCTTAACATACAAGACCCTCAAACAGATAAGTAACTCAAAAATATTTTCCTTAAGGCCGCGTTACAAAACTTGCGATGAGCGAGGCTGCGCGACAGGCGTGGTAGAGCAATGTTATAAATATGGCACAATATAGAAGTCAGAATTTCTCGGTTTATTTAAAATTAAATCTTATTCGACTTTGATTATATGCAGAAGAAAGAGGACGCACATAAAGGGTCATAGGTAATTGATCCATGTTTTTGTAATTTAGAACTATACAACAAAGTCACATTGTAATTAACAAAATGAAATAAAAGAGCAACACAAAGTTATATCCATTAAAGATATTATTAATGCATGCGTATAAAGGAATGTCATACTAAAAGGTGTACATTAAACCCACGCGAGATCACTCGAAGTAATTATCCTTCGCCTCTCTTGTTACCCGCAGTGTTAAAACATTAATGTTCCAACCGTTTCAAGTGCCGCAATTAACCGTATTTTAATGAGATCACTTATTACCGTTCTAAATTAGAATATATCCCTTAATGTAGGAAATTAGAAAATACGCAAAAAATATTATTACAAAAAGCGTTTTTTTATTTACTATGCACAGCGGGTCCTATTGAAAATATTTTACTAAGTTTTAATGTTAAGAATTGGAGAAAAAATGGACAAAAAAAAATAAAAAAAAATTGAAAAAATCGCTTTGTTTTAGTTCACTACGCTTCACTGTACTAAAACTTGCTATCTCTGTTTTTGTAAGGAGGATGAGTAGAATAACAATACTTTCTGGTTTTGGGCTGTTGAGGTCCACAGTTACATGATAATGCACTCAATAAAGGACTTATCGTGAGTTTCTTAGACGAAATGTCAAATACAATGATGTATTTTTTACAGAGATTTTGGTCTCAGAAACTCACGCTTAAAAACATATTAAAGAACACACGAACATTCACACAAACTCAAAGTTTATTGATGTATTACTATATTTTAATATTACGATATATTTAATTTAATAACGTTCGTTGGTATGTCGAATTAATAAGACAGTTCTACGAGAAACTTTATTGCTACTATTGGCACATGAGCAGCAATAATCATAAAAGTTATAGCCCTTGTGATTAAATTACATTTGCTGGAGCTCTTATGAGTTTTTTCTTCGGTGAAATTGTTTTAAGGGAACGAAATTTTATCATAAATTCTTCTAATAATATTATACATTTACTTATAAAGTAATATTATATTCAAACGTTTATTTAATTTTTAGCCACAAGCTGCAGTCATCGTTGCATGATTTTTGTGTACCTACACGGAAATTTGTAATAATCGCCATCTTATTCTCATCCACAAATCTTTGATCAAAATTTGTGCAGCGCTACCTATTGGGCTTAAAGTACACTAAAAATCTCATACTCATTTTAACATGACGGCAATACAAAGGCGAACACAAATATTAATGCAAGGTCCACTGAACGAAAAAGACATGACCTAGATGTCTCATTATTAGACTACTTGATATAATAAGCATTATATCTTATATATAAAATTCTCGTGTCACAATTTTCGTTCCCATACTCCTCTGAAACGGCTTGACCGATTCTCATGAAATTTTGTGAGCATATTAAGTAGGTCTGAGAATCGGCCAACATCTATTTTTAATCCCGCGCGGACGGAGTCGCGGGCGACAGCTAGTTCTAATATATATTTTCTTATTATTCCTTAAGCCCTTAACAACGACTATTTATCTTACTTTGAATTGAGATTATAAAGTTAAGGGATGGCGTTATTCGGAAGATATTAAGGGATATGCAATAAATTAATATTCATAGCTCGAAGTTCCGGGATTATAGTTTTTTTTAATAAAAATAAACTTTTGAAGTTGACATTTTTATTTACACGATACAAATATAAAACGGTTACTTACGTCAATACAGTCGAGTAGAAGACATCCAAAGCCTTAAATCTAATTTACAAACAATATTCAAAGTATACATTTCCTTTTGAAAAAAACCTTCATAATCATACAATTACATGATTTGAAATTTGATGATGAAAAATACGAAATACAATCTGAAGTTGACGGGTTTATTTTCCTTATGAATGTTATTTTTTGACAGTATTAGTTAGAATCATTTGGCGCAAAGGACTTGCTTTCGTTACAAAGTCCAGTGTCAGAATGAATAGTGAGGGGACATAAACGTCGACATTTTAGTTAGGCTAGTGTTGCGTCAATACACTGCCACATTTTCGGATTTCCTTCCTAATAAATGTCATCATTTAAAAATAAATTAAAGAAATTTGTTAGTAAAATGTAAAATGTAATGTCTGACTACTGGTAAAATACTGGTACTGGTAAAATTTTCATGTTCTTGTAAAATTGTTTCTCGTAAGTGAATTTTGTAAATTCTTGGAGAAATAAAGATCTTAAACCACAATAGTATAATGGTGCAAATATTTTATGAAACCGTATCAAGTCTTTAATGACCTAACCTACTTTTATAATCGCTTCTATCAATATGAAATAAAATATAAAATAAATAATGGATCGTTTTGAAAGAGCAACATATATTTTACGAGAAGACACTGCTTATTGTTTACAGTTTTGTGGGACAATGTCTACTTTAAGTTATTACCATGTACCTCATGGTAATAACTTAAAAGTAGATTTAATAAATAAATACTAACAATACTACAGAACTGCAAACTAAGTTGAAGTTAAAAATAATATAAAATGTTGATGTACTTAGGTCCTTAATTACATAAGTTCTGATTATCTCCCGCGTCCCAGAGGCCTAGTTTAGTCATATTTCCCTTCCCATCCTTTTTCTTATAAGTAAATGATGGGAAGTGGAAGTGAACTTTCCGGATGAGATGCATGGAAAGGGAAAATATTTTCTTTCTGTGCATCCTCTCCTCCGTCGATAAAGGTAGGCAAAGCATATCCAATTGCTTATGTTTAAGGGCAACGGTCACTTCGCTATTTCAGCGATTTCAGGTGGCTGCTCGCTCGTTTGCCACATAATGATATAAAAAAAATTCTTTTAAACTTGCAAAACTTGACGCCTTTCTACAGTACTCCACAGCCAATGTATATCAATATTTCATGATTATTATAAATAAATAAATACAAAATTACAACAAAGTGACATTTCTAAAGTCAATTATTTACAAAACTTAAAAAAAAGCGATAGAAGTTAAGTATAAGGCTGGATTAAAAAAAATTATTAAAAAAGAGAAAAAAAAATCAAACAATTTTAGATCGACATTTATCACTTACATATTATTTAATGCTAAGGAAGTACTTTATATTTACCACATTAAATACTAATTACATTATCACATCAATTCTTAATATTTAAAAAAACATGAGTTTTCACTGTCTAAGCAACGTTATCATTATACATCTATCCCTTTTCAATCTCTTTAACAAAGGGAGACAACAATATATTTCAGAACAGATGCTTCGGCATCAAAATACAATAGTAAAACATTTTTTTTCCTCCATCGTACTGCACGAGAAAGATATTTTTATGAATAAACAACTTAGTATCTATTAACATTTAAACATTCAGAAAACTTATTCGTGTTAACTGTATTAAGTCAAAAACGGTGATAAAATTAAAAAAAGCATGCTAAAATAAATGTATGCAATAGAAGTTTAAATACTAAGTTCTGTCTGTGTGTACAATATTTTAAAATAAAGATTAATTGATAATCACAAGAAAATACACAAATGCACATACAATTAATATCGGCGATTTGATTATTAGATTTTTTTTATAATAATTACATTTAGACACAACATTTATTTTACTAACATGTTTAAGCTACCAACATTTATCAAGAAATTGTATGAATCCTAATCTAGTTTAACATTTACTTTATTAAAATTATACGAAATGTATCAATTCTGTATGCGTTTTATTTCTTACCACTCATCCTGATGAAGGGCCCCCGATGGGCTCGAAACTAGTCGGTGCCGCCACCGGACGAATATATGTGAGTGTTTAGCCGTTTTTATATCAGCGTTATTTTCTTTTTAATTTCCTTCATCTTATATTCATTCGGTGAAGGAAAACATCGTGATGCAACCTGCACATATCTGAGAAGAAATTCAAAGATATGTGTGAAGTCAACCAACCCGCACTGGGCCAGCGTGGTTGACTATGGCCTAATCACCCTTAACTTAGGGTAGGCTCCGAGCCCCTCGGTGGGGACGTATAGTGAGCTTATGATTATTATATTCATTTATTACAATTTTATCTTACACCATCAAAAAGTCCTTAAAGCTAAGCATATAGACTTATTAGCACACATAAAAAAAAATATTCAATATATTTTGAGCGCTGCATCCAGTAAATAATTGTATAAAATCGTTCAAAAATTAAATGTGCAAAATTAAACGCATATGTGCATTTATATGTGCAGTTGAATATTGCGTAATTACAATAATGTTATTGAATATGTTATGGCTAAAGAATCGTCAGTATCCTAACCTTATCATTACGAAGTAACGTGTAAAAGTTTTAAAATCTTACCAAGAACATTGTAACATCACATCAATTTTCCAAAAATATTTATATTCATACAGTGCATACATGCTATTAAATTATTCAAACTTTCGTGAGATATTCTAACAAACTTATATAAAAGCGGCTAAAACACTCACTTATATTCGTCGGGTGGCGGCACCGACTAGTTTCGAGATATCAGGGACCCTTTATCAGGGAGAGTGGAACTGGTATTATTTCGCGGACGCAGCCCGTCGCTCACCCATAGGGTCCCCGATGGCCTCGAAAGTAGTTGGTGTCGCCACCAGACAAACATACGTGAGTGTTTAACCGTTTTTATATAGGTTTGCAAACATGCTGTCGCCATCTCAGTAAAAATTGTCTATGTAATTAATCTAAACATTTAACATCAACACATTTATAAGTAGAATTAAACAGAGGACCTGCCCCTGAATTTCATAATAAGAAATTTTCGTAGTTTAGTTACGTCAGAGTTTATGACTTATTTTTACTATTTTGCTCAGATATATAAAAATCTATTCTAGCTTCACTAGAAAACGGAGAAAAGCGCGTTTCTACCTCGAGTACTCCACCACTGGCCAGTGGCCGCGCTTAGAGGAGATACTCTCATTGGTCTGGGCGGTCGAATGATGTATTCGGTGTGCTTTCTACTTTTTTCAACACGATTTTAAAGGCAAAAGTATGTTTCGGTGAAACAGACGCCGGACGCGGTGTAGGCGGCGATCTCGGTGGAGGATCCGGTGGCATTTCTGAACGGGTACGCGAACGTCGTGGTGGATGGTTGATAGTTGGCACCGGTGCTGATGTAGGTTCCTTCGGCCTTTGCGGCGACAGTCGATTCGGTGATAATCGACCGGGCGACGGATCCGGAGTACTTGGTGGCAACATTAATGGTGGAAGGTTCGCGCACGGCGAGCCTCTCGAACCTCGACGTTCTTTCAAGCCCATTGGAGGAGGAGGAGAAGAAGGTGTATCATCGTCTGCCGCCGCGACTACAACCACTGGCTCGGCCCTAGCTAGTGGCGCTTTAGGTTCACTCGGTTCAGAAGTAATAGACTTTCTAAAGTAATTTAACCCGTTCTCTATCTCAGCAAGCGCACGTCGTACGAATGGAAAGCTTTCGGACAACTCCGAAGTCGATTTTCTTACCGGAAATTCAGTTTCACTGTCACGCTTTCTCGGTTTGCATCTTTCAAAAGTTGTATCCCCCGAAGCAGCTACGGTTTCTGATACCTGTCGTGTCAGTGCGGCATGTTTTATGGAATCCGACTTTGATCTGGGCTCTCTCGTCTTTGGTGTTGGAGAACGTCGGTCTCCAAACTTCTTGCTTGCGGCGCGTTTGATAGAGGAGAAAAGACCAAGTTTCTCTGGTGGTTTTTCCGGAGCGATTGCGGTATGTGGAGCGGAGGAAGGGCCAGGGACGGGTTCGGGCGCGGGATGGGGGGAGTTCCCCTCGCGTTAGTTGTGCCGAGAGTCAGAAGACGGAACATCGCTCGAGCCGGTGGAGGAGAGGGTGGTGTTGGAGCCGTAGGGGTCGAGCGAGGACTGCACCGACATAGAGCGGCCCGCGCGCCGCACTCGCGCTGGAGACAGCTTGCCTGGGTCTACGCTGGCCGGGTCTGCCTGCAACAACAGCGTTCTAAGTATTGACTAATTCTGAAAATAATTACGTTAAATATAATTACTACCCATTGGGTATTGTTTTCTAAAAGAAGATGAAAATTAAAATATGAATTAAATTTTCGACAATCATACAAATAATGACGCACCTGATACGCCAGAGCGTTCATTATGATGGAGTACGGCACCAGGCCAAGTGGGTGCACTTCTCTCATCAGTACATTGGCCGGGATCTTGTGGAACTGTATGTACTCCAGGAAGTTCCCGATCACATCCTTCAGGGACATGTTCTGGTTTGTGTCACAGTATTTCTTGCTCCACATAAGCGCCGCCTGTGAAACATTACGTAAATTATTATTATTTTTTTTTGTTTTTATTAAAAATATTAGCAGATTTTTTTGGAAATTTACTAATATTTCTTTTACCATTCCAACTAAGCTCTAGGCTTGTGCTAGGATATGGTTTACGACAATAGTCGAATGGCGGGATTCGTACCCCCGACCTCGTGGTCGGAAATCCGTATCCTAAACCATTAGGCTATTGACGCTTTAATTTTAATTATATTTTTTTATTTTAATTATATCTTTAATTATAAACAACAAATTTTTTTTTTATCCTTCAGTTGGTGTTATATTTTTTTTTCGCTTACTAAGATTTTGCACCCATGAATGATATAATGTTAGCATCTGTCATATTAGTGTCAATGGAGTAAATCATTATTTATTTTATTAATATAAAGGTTAAACATTCAAGAATTTGGATATACACCTGGAATTTAGTAAATTCATCAGCTCTGAGTTCATCTCTGGCCAGAATAAGTCGCACCACATGCTGGGGCAAGAGAGTGAAGGATCCAAGGTTGAGGACCTCGTTGCCATGCTCATCCACAAACTCTAACACCTGAAATTTGAAAAAAAAACTATTAATTTTTTGCATTGCGCACATGATGTTGAAACTGAAACTCTATATGTAGTGTAATTCTCATCAAATTTGGGCGCAAATGCGTCAGAAAGTTCATTCCCAAAATGTAACAAATTTAAAATTAAACAAACAACGTAACGAGAAGTATAGCGTAAAATGAGGTTCAAAGTTCTAAGGTTACAGTTCCTATTTATAGCCAACCTCTTCGAATCAGAAACACTCGTTTCAAATACGATAACGAGGTATAAAGAGAACCTTAATTAACTCTACCGATTGAAACGTAACCTGTTTGAATTCAACCTTTGGTATAGCTACAGAATAGCAATTACTTTGAACGCCTACGTTAGCATAGTTTGTTGTGCCTAAAACAAATTTTATTTTAAATAATGATTAAAATGCGATTACAAACATAGCAAATTTCTGTGTTTTGTGTTTTTATTTCTTCTAAAGAAAAAGATTTAAATTAATTAGCTACTTCAAAAATGTTTCCTCTGGAGATGGTCTCAAGGCCCCTCAAAAACTCTTCCTATCAATAATCCGCCGCAAGTTATAATTTGGACATAAATATATACGTATTGTGACTTATCGTTAGATGATAAAGAAAGAACTCTATAAAATTTTATATTAAAATAAAACTGTATCAAAAACTGTTAGCATTAAAATCTTAGTCCAATTTGAACCTAACGGCTAGCCGCGCGCGTCCGCCATTTTGTTGTAAATAAAATTCGCACGACCGTGTCGCGTTTTAGAAGAGAGTAAAAAGACACACAGAAAGAACTACTCTGGTACTATTTGTAGTGGAAAATATAATCGTACCTTTTGTACTAAGGACTTCGTGCACTTGTATTGTATGTATCTCTCAGCGGAGGCGAGGAGAGCACACACAGTATCCACGGTGATGCAGCATTGCACGAAGCCCGCGCACGCACGCCGCAGCTCGTCCAGACCGTAGTAATCCGCTGCATTCATCACACCTGGTATAATAGAATTTATAGTTATTGATATAAGGATTAAAGTTGAATGGATCTGTGGACCTCTTCATCGTCAATGATGTCGAAATTAGTGTGAGATTTTAGGTGTACTTTACATATTCTTCTCAGCCATGAGACGCCCACTGCTGGGCATAGGCCTCCCCCAAAGATCGGCATGATGACCGGTCTTGCGCCACCCGCATCCAGGACGGTCCCGCAACCTTGACCAGGTCATCGGTCTTGCGGGAGGCCTGCCCACGCTGCGTCGACCTGTCATACTTGGATTTGCCGTAATCGCCACGCTTGGCAGGCGGGATGGCGATCGCAGTGTTTGCCACCGTTTATTATAAGGGAAGCTGCTGCCTGTCCTCCGGTGGTCTGGACGCAGTTAAACGACGGTACCCGGGTCAACACTTTACATATTATAATGCACAAATCTTAATACAAATTTCGTCGACGACAAAACGATAGCAAATATTCGTGATAGGCCCACTATTTATTGACTGAACTGAATTTCCAAAGTATTTAGTTTTTAAAATCGCCCTCTTTATATAGTTATTCAGATAGTTAAAATATAGATAAAGTTACAGATTTTAAATTGCTGGGATATTTCTAGAAATTCTAAGAAGGTTCTTAAAATTTTTATTCCTTACTGCAAGGTATAGTTATTTTAGTATATAAATAAAAGGAATAAGAAAACTTTAATAAAAAATAAAATGAGGGTCAAAATTGAATATGCATATTTTAAATAGATTTTATAGGTAAAGGAGGCGGCGAAGGGAAAATCTATTTACGTGCCGCCATTTTACTACGACGCTAATACAATTACTCTCGTTGTGGTGGAATAAAGGCATCGTCCTTTTATAAAATTCTATGGGGAATATTATTTTTCGTTGCCATCGATAAATGCTGGTTTTTTCTGAGTAATGTGTCATGGTTGGTTATGTGCAAGTACCAAATTTATAATAGAATATTGTAACAACTACAAACATTTGAAAAGCAATGTCAAAATTTCACATTGCTTTATTTCTTGGCGATCTCCATCTAATCAGAATTATGCACAAAACTGTTTGATTATACCATAGTAAAAACAACACTTCTTACAAATCTAGATTCCTCTTCATTTTTTGCTTATTGTATTTTTATTTTTATTTTCTAAAAGTTTTATAATAAATGAGATAACAAACCTAACAATGTCCGTGGCTGAAGAGTGACGCATCCAGTGTGAATGTATTCGATCAGTTGACGGAATACGTCCGGCTCGAACTCTTCTATGATTAACGTTTGGTGCTGCTGAGAAGACGGCTAATGAACAAAACAAACTGTCACAATGCATTCATAGAAATAAATCGACTCATCCAAATAAAAGAATTACATCTTAAGATGTTACTTTTCATCGGATGTATCGAAATGTCATTACAAAATCGTCAAAGAAATCAAATCAACATAGTATTTTTAAACCACTGCAAGTGTACAAAGCATTGATAATGAAGGTAAAAAATAGTAAAATAATTTACAAAACATATCCGTAGTAAGAACTTGAATAATTCTAGCTTTTAAATACAGCATAAATTTGAATATTTTTGAAAAATGTGCAAAAATTGAATTCAATATGGAATTATAGATCCGCTGTAAATGTAAATCGTAAAGCTAAAAATTTCTTACTGAATAAAGTATTAATAAAAAGCGAAATAACTATTTTTAAACGTAACAACTGACTTAGTAAATAATTTCGAAACATGAGTACTATCATGCGTTATAATTTTTTACAATTTTAGAAAATAAAAAAGTATAAAGTACAACAACATCTAATATTAACAATATTTGTTTAAAACAATCATGCAAATTATTAATAATATTCCAATAATAAAGTCTCGATATATGCAGACTTTTAACTACAAAACACTATTAAATTATTAATAATAATCAATATTGAAGACGTATATCTCGATAGCCTACGACACCGGTAATTTTGTTTTTACCTCTTGTATTGGAGCCAATTGCTGCGCGAAAGCTGATCTCTGCAGTAAAAATTGCAAAACATAATAACATTTTGGGCCTTGAAGATCCAATGGTATAGGTATTTTTTAACTTTTATATTTTTTTGTAATTTAAATTTGGACGTCTTAATCAAATTTATATTTCAAAAATGAAAATTTTTAAAAAATAATTTACGACAGAGAATCCAACAAAAGCTACATATCTTTTGACTAAAAACTAATTGTTATTTATAAAGGTAAAACCTTAAAATCAACAATAAAAATTTAAAATAAATTAATTTTGCGTTCCAGAGGCCTAATTTAGTCCTCTTTCCCTTCCCATCCTTTTTCTTATAAGGAAAGGATGGGAAGTGGAAGTGGACTTTCCGGATGAGAGGATGCATGGAAAGGGAAAATATTTTCTTTCTGTGCATCTTCTCCTCCGTCGATTAAAGGTAGGCAACGCATATACAATTGCGTATGTCTATGGGCAACGGTCACTTCGCTATGTCAGCGATTTCAGGTGACCGCTCGCTCGTTTGCCATCTTATGATATAAAAAAAAATTGGGTTTCAATTTTGCTAAGTCATGAAATGATTTAGAACAAGGTTATCATACTCGTAGCTAAAACGACGTCTAACAAATCACTATTTAAGTCTACCATCTCTAGATTTTTATCTAATTATCTAATTTTAACGTGCTTCAGCTAGAAAATCCGAAATATTTATTTCAATCTTCAAAAAAATGTTTTCCAATACAATCTTTATAGTTAAAACATTTACAGCATAAATATACAGGATGTTGGAAAATGTTGAACCCCTGCCTACTACGTAATATTTGCCTAAACCCTTAGACGCATCGGTCCGTTGTAAATATTCTTGCGAGCATATAATCGATGATCACGCTCGAGATGTCTATTTAGGTTATAGCACCCTCTACGTACGTAGTACTAATTTCATTCTTAATTTGTAAGAAATTTAGATAAAGTACAACTAAATTTGATTGTTTCGACTGTTGAAGCCCTCGAATAAAATAATATTGTCATCTTTCTTATTCTCTTAGGAAAAAACAGAGACAATATTATCAATACAAGTGTCGAAGCAGTGAAATTTCAAGATAAGAACGGGTTTTTCAAATGTTTTCATGAAATATTTTGTCTCACCTGTTGCGCGGCATTCTGCAAATTCAACAATGGCTCAGATGATCTTTTGAGAAACAGCCGTAGTTTATTTTCACGCGGCGCTGGCTCCTTCTTTCTCTGTGGGCTTGGTGCTTGATAAAGCATTTTTTGGAACACCCTGTAAAAATTTAAAATTCACTGAAATTTCTACAAAGATGTTGATTTTGTTTCTTTGGACTGGGAATTGGTTTAATCACATTCTAAAGAATGTACATACACTATGCACTTTGCATTTAATATTTTTTACATAATTTTTATTTTAAATATTACTCGTACCTGCTCCTCGATGCTAGAACAGCTTTCACGGCACAAACTGGCTCTCTCGTGTCACCTACTAAAAAGGTGACGTCACACAGTTCCGGCATCGAAGCCAAGAACTTCATGTCTTCAGCAAGTCCTGACTTGTTCTCGAAAGTACTGAGGTCTGGCTCTGCCTCCATTGCTGCAAGCGCCCCGCTTCTCATTGACGCCTGAGGAGACAATCACCAATTGATTTTGACATATTTATTTAAAATCCAGATATTTTTTTTTAATTACTTGGCCAACAGTAGGTTTAACACATTATTTTTTTTAAATATTCTTCTGCATTTAAGAGAGTAATAATAGATTCGTTTTTAAGGGAAAGCTTTTAGAATTTTATCCATACGTTTCCCGAAAATATTACAGGTTTTCCCTATTTTTTAACCGATTTATTTTATTGTTAAAAAACCTGAACTTATAATTCCAAATGTTAAATGGTAATCACTCACTTCATCTAAACTGAAATGCCTAGTGACAGATAGATCCATTTTTATATATTTTCTAAGAACTGTGAGATAGAATCGTTCGCTTGCGGCGACGTTAAACCGGCGACTGTCAGGCGAGAGGAAATTAAAGGGATGCTTGACTTTCCGTAAAGCAAATAGCGTGTGGCCCAAAAACATGGAAATACACGACAAATTTTATGTTTCTTCAAAATTATCTTTTCGTCGCAAAAAAAAAGTGTAAAGTTAAAAAAATATTTTAATTTTAAATTAGGGTCATTTTGTGACTGGTCAATTTTTCTTACACTTTTTTTTAAGCGAATCAAAAGTTGGTGTGGTTAGGTTCAAAAACCTTCATTAATGCTTAATAATATCAAAAAATCATGAAACTTTATGAAAACAGCCTTACCCTTGCAAAGATTCTGACTACGAGTATTAACAATAATTGACTGATTCACTCCTAATTTCAAATTTGGGGGTAAATTTAAAGCTTTTTACGACTATATCTAATCCATTAGGCTTTTAAAATAATTTCGTCGAATTTTGACAAAAAGCCTACTTTAAAATCGTTATTTTTTTGTAGGTACTCTTAAATTTTTTTTACGATTCCAGAGGCTTCGGAGAAATTGGATACTTAAATAACATCGCATAATGTTTTGTAGCATCAAAATTTTACGACGAACATAAATCGCTTCGGTTTTAGAGTGGGTACACTTATTGATGACATTGTGAGATAAATTGAAATACGCGTTCGTGCGAATATCGGTAAACATCACAAAACTAACAAACTGTTATTGGTACAACGTTTACGAGTTAAAATGTTGGTACATATTGAAATATAAATAAATGAAGTAATTGGTACATTTTATAATAAAACGTCGGAAATAGGAATATTAAAATAAAATAGGAGCGTCGATGGCTCAGGGGTCAAGCACTTGACTTGCAATCTGCAGGTCCTGGGTTCGAATCCCTCCATGTACCAATGTGTTTTTACATTTCCGATTTACATATCGTGATGCAACCTGCACATATCTGAGAAGAAATTCAAAGATATGTATGAAGTCAACCAACCCGCACTTGGCTATGGTCTAATCACCCTCAACTTAGGGTAGGCTCAGAGCCCCTTGGTGGGGACGTATAGTGAGCTGATGACGAGAAAATAAAACGTTGGTTCATATTAGAATTTGGTATATATTGAAAGACAGAAAACCGAATTGGTACAACCAGAATGTGAAAATTTGATGAAACGTGAAATGTGTTTCACAAAAGAATGTTACAGGCTCATTGCATGATTTTAGCTTATAAATTGATTAGAAGTTTACCAACACATTAGATTAGCTATCAATTTTTCTATTGGATTTTCACAGATAAATTATTTAAATAATTGTTCGCGCCTGACACGCGGGCAACACTACCGGTGCGAACCGCGCGGGGGCACGAAACGTCAACTTTGACTTCCGCTTTCAACCGCCGATGCATACGCGCAACCATTAGTTTGTCTTTTTGCAACTCTGTATTTACCGCGAATTAAACCATTACACCGACTACTTGTGTTTGGCCTAAAGAAATGGTCCATCGAGCCTCAAGAATCAACGAAAATACAGTCCGCTTAATTAATACGCTTGCAGCGACTGGAGTGCAGCAAATTGTCGCGAAATCGGTTCAACGGTCGTCGGACATCAAGACAAAGGAAGTACCGTGTGGACAAGGGAAGATACAGTGATACATTCGTTCCATATTTTCCCTTTTATTGTATTAATATAATTGTTCAATTTCACGGTTACTCATTTACGAGTGCCTAATTACCAAATACCCACATTATAATTATTTTTTTTTAAGTTTCATATCGATATTTTTTCCTTTTAATTTAATGGCCCAACTAGATGTTTTGATTCGCAATCGTAGTGGCATGAAAGGCAAGTTTACAAATTATTCTAATTATATCTGTAATTTTCCAACTCCAAATACAACTACAGTCTCTGTAAATTTTTGTATAAAATTTTACAGTTGAAACATACGTGCTCAATATCAGAGAGCAGAGACAGAACCTTTAGTGAAAATACTTTCCTTAAGATAGATCCAATAAATCTGTTTCAACATAGATGAGAGATATGTAGAAAACAATATATACATAATACATAATCGTCTCTCGCTTATTTATTAAATAAGAAACCGAGCATCGAGTGTGTTTGAAATGTACTCTACTTGAGTCTATATACAATCTTACTTCTTACTAATATTATAAATGCGAATGTTTAGATGGATGGATGTTTGAAGGTATCTCTAGAACGACTGAATGGATCTAGATGAAATTTGGCATATTTATAGAGCATACGCTGGAAAAACACATAGGCTACTAATTATGTTTTTTTTTTATTCTACACGGATGGAGTTGCGGGCAACAGCTACTTTTTACATAAAGTTTGAAAAGCCAACATTGATGAGTTCCTCATTAACTCATCCCGTTGACCGTAATACGGTTCGCAAGCATTGACCTGAAAGCGATATCTCCCTGCATATATTGATTTTATAACAGTATTCCAAACATTAATGAATGTACACGCTTGTTAATAACCTACATAAAGTATTAAATTTAATTATAATACATAGAGGTAATATATCTTAATCTTATTAATGTAATACATACTAAAGTATGGATGGATGTTATTTAAAACGTAACTCCAAATATGATGAGATTTCTTTGGGTGAAATTGAGCTGTAGATTTGTAGCTTTTTTAAATCCACGCAGACGAAGTCGCAGGCAATGACTATGTTCAAAAATGATGTAATTTAAATAAATCTATTTTTTTTAAACATGTGAGTTGAAAGTACAGACATGATCGTAGACATAATTACCAAAAATTCCGCAACTTTACTACGAGAGACAAAATACTCCAATCCGCCCACGCAAAACGTCTAGAGTAACGCCCACGCATAAAATCGCAACATTTACATACAAAATATATGTTACCTACCTGTTGATGATTTTCTCCTTCAAACAAAAGCAAGCAAGAATCTTAATACCTTATTAACTTTATAAGAAATAACAATTTATTATCAAATTAAATGTAAATCACAACATTACTATTGAGTAGACAAAGAGTTGAAACACTACTGAGAATTATAATCTGCTCTACGATTGATATTCAATATGCAACTACTGAATTTAATATTGAAGTTATAAGCACTTATTATTAAAGCATGACAGCTTCACATGAGGCACGTTGTACACAATACTAGATGGCGCTACTGCGCATGCGTGAAACAAACGCGCATGCGCGTAATTTATATCAATATAACATCGTTGATACAGAAGGTCGCCAGGCATTTTCAATGGATGAAGGTGAAATCTATGAATGAAGTGAGATAAGAGAAAGGTTTATTTCATTTTAGTATTTTTTCTTTATATCAGAAGGTGGCAAAAGAGCGAGCGGCTACCTGAAATCGCTGAAATAGCGAAGTGACAGTTGCTCATCGACATACGCAATTGCATATGCGTTGCCTACCTTTAATCGACGGAGGATAGGATGCACAGAAAGAAAATATTTTCCCTTTCCATGCATCCTACATCCGGAAAGTCCACTTCCCATCCTTTCCTTATAAGAAAGGGAGTGGGAAGGGAAAGAGGACTATATAAGGCCTCCGGGACGCACACTCCTCAGACTGTACGCGAAATTGCTTCCATTTCAATTTATTCGCGAGCCGGGCCAATTCTTGCGAAGATGTTAAAGCGGGCTCTACCACTGTTAAATGTTATTATAAGTATTCTAAAAACTAGTACAAGCATAGTCGGTTAAGTACTATCGGAGGGATGGCATTATGCAATCGGAATAAAAAACATATCGTTCTAGATAATGACGTATTAACGCGGTTCCTGCTGTGTCCTAACAAAAGACGTTTTACAAGAACCCAATATATTTATTCTTATGTCTATTTTACTTGCAATAAAGTATACCTTATATGACTCTGTGACCTAAAGTTGGTCTTGGCTTCTGACACAAGAAATCGCCACCGTCGCCTGTCCTGTAGGTCCAGGTCTCAACGCAGTCTGTGGGCTTTGACTTCACTCACGATGTTCAGTTCATTCACCAGTGTCTCCCTTTCTTTGTTGTATTGAACTCTTATGTTACTGTCTTCTTTCTGCGTTTGGCCTAATATCTTCCGCATGATTTTTCTTTTCGACACCAAAAGCATTTCCACCTTTAAAAAAACCTTAAAAAAACTTAAAGTAATTTAAGTGTAATTAAAAGATTTAATAATTTATATAGGTTCTATCAAATAGTAACTGAACAAAATAACTTGTAACAATGACATCTAGTAGTGTTTGTGAGTGCTACGCGCTACGGGCTACGGAATTGTTACGAAAGGCTACGAGAGGTTCCATTAAACGACGGTGGATGAAAACTTATTGATTCTTGCGAATAGTGATAGATGGCAGTGTTATCAATGAAGACCGGTTTACAAAAAAAATTGCAACAGCTTTTAAATAAATATCTATGTTTTAACTGTTTAATACTGCCCATAGCACTATTGCTCAACATATAGGTTATCATGTAAAATTAAAAAATAAACTTTAGTATCAAGTACATTTTTTGTTACTAAAGATTTCTGATGATTTTTATACTTCCTCCTCCTTCCTCAAATTAAACTATGTGGTATGGAAATTATGTGAAGATATTCAATTATTTTAGTGCTACCTGACATGAAGATAAATTTAGGGTCGCCGTAGATAGATGCCATGTCTATTCGGCCAAAGGATCTCGCCAAAAGATGGATTATCGGCCAAACTAAGATTAATTACATTGGGTTATAATGTAAACGGGAACTATTAAGAAATTAGACGAAGGTCTAATGCAAAGCCACATTCTGATATAACTATACCAAACGTATAATACCATTATCATTAATCTGTGTTTTGTTTTTAATTTCATTGTTTCAAATCATCTTTGTTTTTTGGGCTTATCTTTTATTTTGTTTCTTTTAAACTTATAAAAAACAGCTAAATACTTGCGTATATTCGTCCGGTGGCGGCACCGACTAGTTTCCAGCTCACCAGTGAGCGACGGGTCGCGTCCGCGTAATAATACCAGTCCCATTCACCCTGATGACGGGCCCCCGATGGGCTTTTTTTAAGTTTATTATAAAGTCTTACTAAAGTTTGAGTTCCTTTTTATAAAAATGGGGAAACGAACGGTGGTAACAGCGGCGCGAATGGATATCTGCAAAACTGGAAAAACTGCAGATGCGTTATCGACTGTTTTGGTTGAGATACGCTCTCTTCTTGAAGGACCATAAGTGGTACTGATTTGGGATTAGAGCCGAGGAACCACCGTTCCGTAACGCGGCTATGCTTGGCAGAAAGTTTCGCGCGAATCGCATGGTTTTGAATCTTTTTTTTTAATCTTTAGAGGTGACAAACATACAGTAAATAGAGTTTATGGGATTTTTAAATTAACAACTCTTTGTTTTCAGTAGTTTAATACATACTCTTATGTTTTTTTTTATGTCTACTCTAAAGTATTTTAGTAAACTAACAATCTTTGTGCTTTGTATAATCCAAATAACAATAAAATAACATGTAAAGGGTTTATAAAGAGGCGAATGAGAATTAATTACTAACAAAATTTATTTAATTTCGCCAAGTTTGCAAATTTCATTCAGCCCCCATCAGCCACGGCTAACTTCTGTATCCATTCAAAGACGTTCATTAAGCCTTATTTATTGTGGATTTAATTATTCTTGCTAAGAACATTATGGAGGGTCCTAGCCACCTTAATAAACTTAATGGGGGTTTAAGAGTATAATAAAAATTAGACTTTGAACTGAAAACAATTACACAATTTTCTTAGCCGATATTAAACTTAACATAAAAAAAACAACTCATAAAATCAAAAAATTAAAAACAAAATTATCACAACTTTTATCTCTGTTCTTTTCAAATAGAATGAAAGGGATGGCAATATTGTTTTACTTAAACACTCATCGTAATTAATAACTGTCTGTAGATACGCGTGTAAGTAAATATTTGAAGCACAGATTGAATATTTCATCTTAAAGTTTGTATCAAATTTTGTGGTTGAATTTGAATTGTAAACTTGAAGTATGCGTGTGCTCAAAGTAAACTTAACAAGTACGTTTGTTTAAGGAAAGTTTAACACACCTTTACATTTCTAACAAGATACTATGAAGAGGTGCGATCATACTAATATTATAATGCGAATGTTTGGATGGATCTCTATCTCCAGAACGGCTTAATGGATGTCGATGAAATTTGGTATACATGTAGTACGGAGCTTGGAAGTACACATAGGCTAATGATGTCTGTTTATATGATAGCAAATACAAAATAAAATTCTTTTAGGAATAAGGGAAATTAGGACGGCAATATGACTAACATTAGGCCTCCAGTACACACACTCATCAGACGAAACGAGGAATTGCTTCCACTTTACGCCTGGCTTTGGTATGGTTGTGATATTTCAATACGCGAGCCGGCTCATTCGTAAAACAAATATTGTTGCTGGCTGATTAATTCAGATTAAAAGTGTACAAAAATCTTTGTACTGTAACTGAAAAATTGATTAACTTGAAGCTACCAACACATTTATGTTGGTATAAAAGTTTCAACACGGCACCAACATGGCTCCAACACAGCTCCAACATACTTGAGCGTGTATTAATCTCCGAGGCGCTCCAGCCCGAGAAATAATTCAATGTCTCTCAGGGTAACATGACGTGACCTTATTTCACGGTTAATTGATCGAGATATTAACGCTCTTTGTATTTTACTCAGACAAATAGCTTTTTACCATTAAAATGGTAATCATTTTTTTTCTTTTAAATATTTTTTCAAAGATTTGTAATTAAAAAACAACATCTTTGATAAATAATTTCATTCATTTTTTTCAAGTTTTAATTAAAATTTCTTTTGTTACTTTTTACTAAACGGAATCGTGTTATTAAATGTTACATTATAAATGCGCATGTTTAGATAAATAGATGGAAAGATGTGTATTAGAAAGTATACGAGACGACTGAACCGATCTTATTTGATACCAATATAAAGTATAGTCTGGAAGAACACATAGGCTACTTATTAAGCTTTTTATGAATTCCGTGCGGACAGAGTCGCGGATAACAGATGAAATAAAATTATGTCATAATTCGGTATTAAGTAGTACAAGCATCAGATTCAATTATCGTATTTAGTTACGTTTATCAAGTCGTAAAATTCCTAATAGCTGGGCAATAACAGTTTAGTAACGACTTAAAATACTATGAGAACATTAGAAGTAATGGCCCAAATGGACACAGCTAAAGACTACGATACATCCCAAACTTTAGACGTAAAATTTGATTGACCTAGTTTAGCTCTAAGAAACGGCAATAGGCTTTTAATGCTTAAGTTAAATTTACTAGATACTAAATACAGATAGAAGTATAAACTCTTATTCTATGTTGTTTGAAACAACTAAGTAAGCAAATATCTATCCAATTCATTTTGGTACAGCAAGTTTATGACTGAAGCCGAAATTTATGTCTCGCAAAGTTTGACGTTGACATAAACCTCAAATTTTATGAAGACATTTTAAAGGATAAGAAAATGAAACTACGAAACTCGAAGGGAAATCACTAAACTCGATCACTCAATCCGTACCAAATTGACTGCATACGAAATTTTAAATTCTATTATTTTAAAATAATAAAAAGATGCATTATGAACTTATTTCTATGCGTACAAAATCTATTTTTGTGTATTTAGTAATTGTACAAGAAAAAATCAATTCCGGAAAAAAATCTTCTATCTGCGATATCTATTCTACGCGGCCCGTCGCTCACTGCGCGCCTGTGTTCTTAGGGCGCGTTCGCGAAATAATACTAGTCCCCCCGATGGGCTCGAAACTAGTCAGTGCCGCCACCGGACGAATATACGTGAGTGTTTAAACGTTTTTATATCAATTTATTATAATGTCTCACGAAAGTTTGAACAGTTTAATATCGATTGTTACCTTTGAAAACCATTCGATCAAAAAAAAAATCAAAATCGGAGCACCAGGGGCGGAGTTACGCGGTAGCATATATAACCTCCTTCTTTTTAAAATCAGATAAAAGTGAT